AACACTAATTCTCTCAACTGTAGTCGATGATAGACACAACAAAAAAGCCCGACGGCTGGATGAAGAACCACCGGACGATTCGATTCCAGCCATGGCAACGATCCATCCCCTTGCAGATCCCCGATCAACTCACCCATGGATATCAACTTGGAAGCCATGGAGAATAACAATGACAATTATGTCCCTAATACTTCCTTGCCCCCGATGATTCCCTTTTACAAGGATACCCTCATAGGGGATCTTACCCCACCCATGATGGAAGAGGAACCAGTTCTTGACGATGAGGGAATCGAATTGTCTGACGATGATGTCACCCATACCATCTTTGATGGGATGATTTCTATCGAATTTTCTAAAAGAGTCCAAACCTTGTCTATCAAGAGAACTCCTCGGTAGGAAAATTGGATATACTACCCTCCGAACTCGTCTCTATGACCTTTGGAAGTCCTCACAAGCCATGCGAATAATGGATATAGAAAACGACTGTTACCTGATTACCTTCCACACACGATCTGATTATCTCAAAACCTTAGTCGATGGCCCTTGGATGATCTCTGGGCATTACCTGATCGTTGAACCTTGGTCGATTGATTTCTCTCCATTGCAATCCCATCAGAATAGATTTATAGCCTAGATCTGTATTCCTAGATTGTCGATTACTCTTTACAAAAGAAGCTTAATAAAAGAAATTGGCAAGTTTATCAGATCAATTTTCAAAATTGACTTCCAAATGGAATCTAGACTCGAGGACGCTTTGCAAGGATGGCATTTAGCATCTACCTCAGTAAGCCCCTTGTCTCTAAACTTTTGGTCAATGGTAGGGATTTAGATAGTCGAGTACGAACCATTACCGACGATATGTTTTGCTTGTGGTCGATATGGTCATGTTTAAGATATTTGTCCCACCCTTAATACTGAATCACATGATGAACCGGAACCCCTAAACTGCTTCTTCCCCTGACTCTTCTATGTCTGACCCTTGGATGATGGTTGAACGACATCAACAGCGACCACGTAAAAGAGACAATGGAATTAGCTCCAACTCTACACGCTTCCCCGCTACTTGGATGATAGTTGAGTATGGATGTTAGTGATGGGTTCCAGTATACCTAAGTCGATTATCTTGGAAAGTACCTTGGAAGGTGAAGACTTTATCCTTGGTCAGTTGTATGGTTTTGGCTAAATCGACCCTCTTTGAGCTTTCATCATATGCCATTCAGACGTGCTACCTCCTTTAGGGGATATGCGAAGAGATGAAACAATTAATCAAGAATTTTATTTTTGGTCACTTAGATGAAAATCACGGCTTAGATATGGTCCGATGAGAAGAAATTTGAAAACCGATTGATATGTGGGGATTGAGTGTGCGTAAAGTACACATCAAGAATGAGGTGTTTCTCACAAATATGGGATTTCATATGGTTTTAGAGTCCCATCCGTTTGGGCACGAGTATTACGTTCGAAATACATGGTTCGAAAACTTTTGTTAGATTTGGCTTGAAATTAAGGGTCTGTTTGTTTGACTGTAATTAGTTTTCTGGAAAATAAATTATTGGAATTTGAATTACTGGAAAATGAATTACTGAAATTTGAATTATGGAAAATGAATTACATTTCTGGAAAATGATTTTCGGAAAATGTTTTCCGTAAAATGAATTACATTTTTCTGAAAAACACCTGGAAAACTTTTTATTATGTTTGGAAGATGTTATTTAAACTTTTTTTCTACTAGTTGATGAGTTTTTTAAAAATTATTTATTACAAATACTAAATACAATAAATAATATTATTTATCGTAAAACTTAATATTATTATTTTAAAATATTAAAATAATTTATTTATTATTAAATATTATTTTTATAATTTTATTAATAAAATATTAATATTGGTATATTTTAGTGAAATAAAAATATCATAAATTATATTAATTATTTATTAAAGTAATAGTATTATATTATATTTTAAAAATATTAATTAGTATAATTTAAATATCTTTATTAAAATATTATTAGATTATTATATTAATATTAAATATATAAATAATATTATTCATTATTAAATATATAAAAAATGTATTATATATTTATTAAAATAAAAATATAATACCTTAAAAATTTTTAATATAATTGATTCTTTTATTATAATATTAAAAATACAATATTATATTATTATAAATATTAATAAACATATTTTAAATATTTTAATAATTACTATTTCGATGAAAATGATATTAAAATATTTTATTAATATTAAATTCATAAAATAAAATTATTTTGAGTATTTATTCTTTGAAGTGAAAAGTTCGGAAAATGACTTACGAAAAATCAGACCGTAAGTCATTTTCCAGAAAACACAAAGGAAATTCTGTTGATCAGGAAAATGAATTACGTTGACCAACCAGTTTTCCTCCAACCAAACAATGGAAAACATTTTCCGAAAAACGAATTACGTGAAACAAACACGGGAAAACATTTTTCGGAAAATGAATTACATGAAACAAACACGGAATTTCAGGGAAAACTAATTTCGTAATTCATTTTACGGCAAACAAACATACCCTAAGTTGGCAAATTGGAAATTCATCTTGGTTGGTGGCCAACTTATTAGAAATTTTATCTTGGTTGGTGGCCAAACTTTGAACATGGGAATTTCATATTTGGTGGCTAACTTGTACACAATGGAAAATTCTTTTGTAGGTGGCCAACTTATTTTTCATGTTTAATCCCTAAAATATTAGGTTATTTATAAGTTTAGTCCTTAAAACTCAACTATAAATAGGCCTAAGTATTTCATTAGAAATCATCCCAAAACAAGTTCTCTCTTCCTCTTGTATTCTTCATTCTCCCACTTTGGGAATTCTAAAGAATTCCATTTGTTATAATATTTGCGATATAGTGAAGTTATCATCCGGTGTGGTGCCCGAGGACTAGACGATATTCTCATCGAACCTCGTAAATTTGGTGTGTCCTCTCCTTTATTGTTTTTATTCGATTTTTCCATTGTGTTTCAATATTCAATAGTTTGATAGGTTTATCCGCCGTGCAACCTTTGGTGGTTTTGATCTTGACATTTTAGGTCAATTTTGAAACTACGTTCGTGTGGGAAATAACCTAATTTCCTCAACAATTGGCATCAGAGCTTCGGTTGAGGTTATCCTGGTGGTTCCGTTGCTGAAAAGATACAGTTCGTGATATTGAATATTGTTCGTTAGAATCAAAATGCCAAAATACGGATCAGTTGAGACATCAAGCTCTTCATCTGGACCGGTAAGGAGGGTGATGTCAAATGCCAATTTCTCAGTGGAGTTGTTCGATGGATCCGATCATTTTGGCATGTGGCAAGGCGAGGTGTTAGATGCTTTATTCCAATAAGGCCTAGATATCGCCATTGAGGAAGAAAAGTCCGAATCTATGGAGGAGAAAGAATGGGGAACAATCAATCGTTTGCGTGCAGCGCGATTTGATCTTATCTTTCCAGGGAGCAGAAGTATGGTTACAAGAACGAGACTTCTGCAAGTAAGATGTGGAAAGCATTGGAGAAAAAATTCCTAAAGAAAAGCTCTCAGAATCGTCTCTACATGAAGAAAAGATTGTTCAGATTTGATTATCAACCAGGCACTAATATGAATGAACACATCACTGCGTTCAATGATAAGTGGCCTATGCTCTTCCAGTTGTTGATGATGATATCTCTATCACTTACCAAGAAGCAATACAAAGCTTGGAAAATGATAAGTGGAAAAGTTCCATGGATGAAGAAATGCAATCTCTCCAAAAGAATAACACTTGGAAACTGGCTCAATTACCGAAATGTAAAAGAGCAATTGGATACAAGTGAGTATTTGCAAAGAAAGATGGATCTCATAGCAAGAAAGATGTTCGCTACAAGGCACGGTTGGTAGCTAAAGGCTACGCTCAAAAGGAGGGAATTGACTACAATGAAGTATTTTCCCCAGTTGTGAAGCATTCCTCCATTAGAATATTGTTGGCCTTGGTAGCACAGTTGAATTTGGAGCTAGCTCAACTTGATATAAAGACGGCTTTCTTGAATGGTAATTTAGAAGAGGAGATATATATAACTCAACCAGAAGGATACAAAGATGGTCGTTGTGAGAAATGGGTTTGTAAGATGAACAAGTCACTATATGGATTGAAGCAATCTCCGAGGCAGTGGTACAAGCGATTTGATAGCTTTATGAGGAGGCAAAAGTACACTAGAAGCAAATATGATCATTGTGTGTATTTGCAAAAGCTCAAAGATGGATCTTTCATTTATATTCTCTTGTACGTTGACGATATGTTGATCGCTTCGAAGAGTTAAAAGGAGATAGATAAATTAAAGGCTCAGTTGAATCAAGAGTTTGAGATGAAAGATCTAGGTGAGGCCAAGAAGATTCTTGGTATAGAGATAAGCAGAGATAGACAGAGAGGGAAGCTTTGTTTAACACAAAAGCAGTATCTGAGAAAGGTATTACAATGTTTTGGCATGAATGAAAATACCAAACATGTAAGTATCCCACTAGCTTCTCATTTGAAACTTAGTTCTCAATTATCTCCTAAAACTAACGAAGAACGAGAGTATATGGAAAAAGTTCCATATGCTAATGCAGTTGGGAGCTTGATGTATGCAATGGTGTGTACGCGTCCTGACATTTCACAAGCAGTTGGAGTTGTGAGCAGGTACATGCATGATCCTGGAGAAGGACATTGGCAAGCTGTGAAATGGATTCTACGGTATCTCCAACAAACCGTGGATGTTGGTTTAATTTTTTAACAGGATGAAGCACTTGGTCAGTGTGGTTGGATATGCTGATTCCGATTATGCTGGTGATTTGGATAAGCGTCGATCAACTACTGGGTATTTGTTTACTCTGGCTAAAGCCCAGTAAGTTGGAAGTCTACATTGCAATCTACGGTGGCCTTGTCTACTACAGAGGCAGAATACATGGCAGTTTCAGAGGCTGTAAAGGAAGCAATTTGGCTTAACGGGTTGATGGAAGACTTGGGAGTTGTTCAAAGTCACATTAGTCTCTATTGTGACAGTCATAACACTATTCACTTAGCGAAAAATCAAGTCTATCATTCAAGGACTAAGCATATCGACGTGAGGTATCACTTTGTGCGGGAGATCTTTGAAGAATGAAAGATTCTACTTTAAAAAATTGCGACATCAGAAAATCCTGCAGATATGATGACCAAGGTGGTAACAGTAATCAAGTTCAATCATTGTTTGAACTTGATTAACATCCTGAAAGTATGAACACCTTCGGGTGTGTGGCGCTTGTGAGCGCAATTAGAGGCACTACAAATTTGTGGAGTTGAAGAAGTTGAGTAGGCTTGGTAATTTCAAGCCAAGGTGGAGATTTGTTAGATTTAGCTTGAAATTAAGTTGGCAAGTTAGAAATTTCATTTTGGTTGGTGGCCGAACTTTGAACATGGGAATTTCATTTGGTGGCTAACTTGTACACATTGGAAAATTCTTTGGTAGGTGGCCAACTTATTTTTCATGTTTAATCCCTAAATATTAGGTTATTTATAAGTTTAGTCCTTAAACTCAACTATAAATATGCTTAAGTATTTCATTAGAAATCATCCCAAAACAAGTTCCTCTTCCTCTTGTATTCTTCATTCTCCCACTTTGGGAATTCTAAAGAATTCCATTTGTTGTAATATTTGTGATATAGTGAAGTTATCATCCGGTGTGGTGCCCGAGGGCGAGGAATAGACGATATTCTCGTTGAACCTCGTAAATTTGGTGTGTTCTATCCTTTATTGTTTTTATTCGGTTTTTCCATTGTGTTTCAATATTCAATAGTTTGACAGGTTTTATCCGCTGTGCAACCTTTGGTGGTTTTGATCTTGACATTTTAGGTCAATTTTGAAACTACGCTTGTGTGGGAAATAACCCGATTTCCCCAACAACTTTTACTGGAAAGCATCGAAAGACAAGGCTTCTCTCGGTTATGGAAAGGGCTAAGCACAGTTTGGGACGAGATTCAGGATGGAATCAGGTGGAGTCTAGGGAACGATAGGACTGTTGACTGTTGGAGAATTGTTTGGTGTGATGATGTTGGTCCTTTAATTGCACTAAGAATTGGTGTTGCACTCTCGAACTTTAATTGCACTAAAGGTATCCGTCCAAGATATGGTGGATTCGAATGGGAATTGGCAATGGGATTTATTATGGGACTCATTGCCTCAATCGACAATATTGAGTCTTGTCACATTGAAACCTCCGCTATTGAATGGGGTGATGACAAACAAGTGTGGCTCTAGGAAGGGCATAAGCGTTTCTCAATGAGCAATGCGTATTTGCGTAAGCTGGATACTACTGGACATGTGGATTTGCAACTATGGAAGCTGGTCTCGAGATATTGAGGGTTGCCGAGGGCTCGAATGCTCATTGGTAATTTGCAAGGATTGACTCATGGCAAATGTCGAACGTGTACGACGATGCTTTTTGGAGGACCGTTATTGCGGTGCATGTGGTGATGAGGCAGAAACAACACCGCATCTTTTCAGAGGGTGTGTGGTTGCAAGAGCGACTTGGGGTGAGCTCGTTAACCAAGTAGAATAACTGAGTTCCCTACCGTGGCTATGAGGGAATGGGTAGTATCAATCAACCTTCATCAGTTGAGTTACTTCCCTCTACGCGTAGAGGATTGGGAACTCGTTTTTGGCTCTATTATTTGGTGTATTTGGGTGAGATGTAATAAACGCATCTTCGACCATGATTTCGTTGATATAGAAAGTGTGGTTCAATGGGGTAAAAAATCCAAATGAAAGCCTCCAATGTTAGGTCTTTGTATGGTGGACGACTGATAGGTTTAAACTAAACTCGGATGGTGCAAGGAAGAATGTGACAAGAGTGGCAACTTGTGTCGAAGTCTTGCGTGACTCTAATAAAGTTTGGATTTCAGGCTTTACGAGGGCCATTGCGTGTTGTTTGGTGCTGGAAGCCGAACTATGGGGTGCGTTTACTGATCTTAAGGTTGCGAGGGATCTCGGTGTGCGAAACGTCGTGGTAGAGACAGAGAGTAAAGATGTTTTAAGGTTACTTCTACAAGGACAGGAGATGGATAGAGTTTCGTCGATGGTGCTGCATATTGTTCGCTTGCTACGATGGGATTAGAACCTAAATTTCATGTATGTACCGAGGAAACAGAATCAGGTTGCTGATGGTTTAGCAAAGATAGCATGGACACTGTCTTTTGGATTTCAAATGTTCACTCTATCACCTGAGGATGTATGCTGCGTCGAATGCTGGAACTATGTTTTTTTTTTAATAAATTTTAAATTTAATCCTAATCCTACATGAGGGGAGGGGAGGGGAAGGGAGACTCCAAGGAAAAAGAGAGTACTCTTAGTGAGCCTAAAACCAATTACCTAATGTAATTTGAGGAAACAAAGATGAATAATTTGACCAACTGACCAAATATGCTTACTCATTTTTAGTTTAGTTATTTTCAACATTTTGTAATAAAATGGGTAAATTATAAACTTCATAATTGAATTTTATTCTCTCATATTTTGCTCACTAAACTTTAAAACTTTTCAATTTCTTCACTGCATTTAATACATTGGACTTTTTTTGTCACTCCGTCGTTAAATAGTTAACGACGCTAAACTTATGTCGTTAAAAAAGCAAAATTTTCACCAAAACGACGTCATTTTCCATCTATATAACAATCCATTTATAATGTCACTAGTGAGAAAACGGTTGAGTGACAAAAAAATCCAATTTATTAATTTCAGTGAAGAAATTGAAAAGATCTAAAGTACAGTGAGTGAAATAGGAGAGAGAATAAAATTTAGTTACTAAATTTATAATTTACCCTAAAAATTGAAATAGCACAACAAATGTAAGTTTTAGTTGCCTCGACTCTCCTCCTTCAGTTAACGAGCCCCCACTGATGAGGAGAATTCGGAGCTTCCTTCAACGGCAGTGGAGAGTCACGGCGAGATTCATCCCACGTGAAGTGAATAAGTTGGCCGACGGCCTTACGAAAATCGGCCGGAGAGCATCTCTGGGTCGAACGGTGTTCCAACACCCTCCCTCGGAGGTCCTAGCATCCTTAACTCTGATATGCTTGAGCTGAGAAGAACTTCCCACTAAACTTAGTGGTCCCCTTTTGTTACCAAAAAAAAAGTGAACTCTTTTGTGCGACTATATATTTTACATGTTCAAGTAAACGCGTGACATTCTCTTAATTTAATCCAATAAATAAATGGTGGGTGGAAAACAATTCAAACACCATTAATTGGTGCTAAATTTAGCTACATAACAGGGTATTGATAACAATGGCTACACAAAAATTGCATAATTGGGGCATTATGTAAAATATTAAATCTAGGTCCACTCATGGATGCTCTTCAAAGTGTTAAAGTATCTTCACAAAAAACTTTAAATATGAAGTCTCGGAATCTCTTCGAATACTGCTTTGGATCCACAGCTGAAATAGAAGTGGGGTCGTACTGGATGGATTTATATGCATGTTCCAGCCTCTTTGTAATGTCATAATCTTGAAGTATGTCGATGATGCCAAAGTACATTATCACCTCGTAGCACTCCCCTGTTTGTTCCCCTACCAGATGAAATACACTCTCCGGTTTCCTTATTGTTCTTTCTACTCTTGCCGGCATGTTCGTCCCCCAACTTTATCACACCCCACCTGTAATCAGGGACAAGTGCGTGATTTTATGTTAGAGAGATGAATTTTTAAAAATTTGGAGAGATAGATTTTAAAATTTTAAAAGATAAAATATTATCAATATAAAATATATGATAATTTAAAACTTTAGAAGCGACCGCCACAAGCAACTCCCTTAGTCTATCCCTATATGCATTCCACGTTCATTTGCTTCTTAGCGAAAACTTTTGTTTCCTATAAGGTATAATGCTAAAATTAATCCCCAATGTCTATTGAAATGATCATTTTGACCCATACTTTTTTTTAGCATTTTAGCCTGTAACTTTGTATTTTAGTAAAAAGACGCCTAGTGTTTGACCGATAGACACTTTGACCCTTATTATTTTTTATAGAATTTTGGCCCTCAACGTTTATTTTAGAGTAAAAATGACTCTATTTTAAAATGTTAATGATTTGTAACTAATGATTTTCATCCCTAAAAGAATTTTTTGCCCAAAATAAAACATTATGGGTTAAATGTCTATATTTTGGCCCCCAATATTTCATTTTAGGTAAAATTCCTAATGTTTGATTGAATAGTCACTTTGATCCTTTTTTGGAATATTTTGACAACCAACATTTCATTTTAAGGTAAAAAAACATATATTAGAAAGTTAACCATTTGATAACTAATGATTTTCACCCTTAAAGGGGTCTTTTTGCCCCAAAATAAATATAAGAGGTCAAAATGCTCAAAAAAAAATATGGACAAAAATGACCATTTTTATAACAATTAGAACTAATTTTGACATTATGATTTCATATAATTACCTACATGCTAACTATAGTCCCTATTTACCTCTTAGGATCTTGAATCTGCTCCTCCATCTCTGGTGGCGGCGTTGATTCATTCTCATTATTTCCTACAACATTGGCAAATAATGCAACTTCTGAATCGAAAAAGAAAGTTTGCACTGGAGAATAGGGAAAAAAAGGAAAAAAGAAAAAGAAAACAAAAACAAAAGATAACCAGATGAACTTGGACTTCCACAAGGAATGAACTCCCCATTAGCTCCTATTTCTTTAAAGTGAATGCCCCAGAAGACTATAGTCCATGGTTCTCTCCTGTTCAAGAAACTCCAATCCCTATCTATTTGCCTGTTAGTGAAAAACATTGAACATTTAGTGCAGTTGATGAAAAAAGATCAAACCAGATACTAAACTAGTTTTTTCATTCATGCAAGTACCAATAAAGCATGTATTTTTACCAGCAAAACTCGTCAAACCAAGATTTTGGAGTTTGAATATGAAATTCAAATCAAGTCCTTAAGAATGGTAGTATTGTCGATCTCAGACTCAGACTTATCTGTTATGCGTCCTAGTGAAGATCCTTCAAATCAAAGCGTCTGTGAATTGTATATTCGGAGCGTAATAGGTTTCCCATGATAATGAATCGTACCTGGATTTGTTCAGACAAGAGTTACAACATTGTTGTTATTGTGTGTAGCAGCAAAATGAACTTGGATTGTATGTTATTTGTGACCTGTTCTTTACTGAGGCCCTGTTAACTTTACGCTTTACCAGTAATAATATAATGACAATGTTGTTTTAAGTACTTAATACATCTCAGATGGGTACGGGACCAGTACGGTTTGGGTGTATGTATTAAAGACGTCACATATTGAAGGAGTACAGGTAGAATTAGTTGGATACTCGGAGATTTCTGGGGTGTCCTTTGATCTTTAAGTGCATACTCAGGGTTATTTTTTAGATTTATTTTTTAAAAAATAATAAAAAAGATGATTGGAATAAGAAATTGAAGTTGATTTCAAAGCTTTACGAAGAATTTTTCGTATTGGATCCAAATATTTCTGAGTTGAGTTATCTTCTTACGTATGAACTGTCTCTCAGTAACCTTTCTAAACGCATTTTTAAACGCCTAAATCGGACATCGAAACTCAGATATGTCAATTTTAATAAAGATAATGCAAGAAAAACTAAATACGGATCTAATTAGTGATTTTATAGTAATTATGAATTTTAAAATTTATTTATATTTTTATACCCTTATTGCCAGTACTATATAATTTTAAAAATTGTAGTTTCACGTCTCCGTATCTATATCGGAGCAACATAGCTACATTAATAAGTTTCAAAGTAGATAAACTCACTTTTACTTCGGATTTCTTCATCGTCTTTATCATGTATCGATCATCTTCTGTCAAGTAAAAAAAGCTACCACTTTTACCAGGGGAAGATAGTTCTCTAAGAGCACCAGTCCCACATATTGATATCATGTAGTCTGCGGGTCCACCTGGAACAACTTCCTCATAGCCTTTATACATAATCATGACTTAAAGTTACTTGCAAACCATGAAAAAAACATCAAATGGATCAGATATAGTATTGCCTTACCTAAATACTACTGACCAATAATCCTTTCCATTTGAATTCACACACTGATGTGGAGGAGTGTACTTGCTTCCTTCTGTCGGAATTGTCCAAATTTCTCCTTAGGGTCGAAAGCTGCTGCCTTTAGATCAAGAGATGTTGCTGGAGCAGGCCTTCCCACAGAATGCCTGTGAAATCCTCATTAAGCATAGATTTTATGAAAGTATATTGAAAAAATAGAGAATGGCACCTGATTCACCTGATTCCCAGTTGTAGATTGAGCATGAGTTCGTAGTTCTTGTGCCCTAGATATAGTTTCTCCTGGTCTTTCCCAATTTTGGGCACTTTCATGGCAATTCGGGTTAAAACTTAGGGTTGTATCATCATGTTGTTGATGTTGAATACATAAGATCTCAGAGTCCAATTCTCTCTTGGGCTCTACATAGTCATTACTATCATCATCACTCTCCCACATGTGCATTTTATCTGGCCTTTCCATCCTATACTTGCCCTTCCATCGATCGACAACCTCCTCGGTTGTCGTCGGTCTTGGCCGTATACCATGCCAATACTTTCTGTGACGGCATGATCGAAACGTTTTCTCTCGGGCAGATCTTACAATCAGCCAACTCGGTATACACGGACGGGGATCCCAGTCGGTAGTTGCGGGTTCGGAGGACTCAGAAGGTAATATGTCCCATTATGTTCTTCAGGATCCTTACTCCAATTCCCCACATAATAACTCCCATCCGGCCAATAAAAAGTCCCCATTTCTTTAGGCCAACCCTCTTGCCAATGGCCATCATATTATTCCATTACTCCATACAAAAGTGCCATTGCCACAAATCATCCCATTTTCCACTCCCCGATGTAATGGTTTTCGCTTTGCCATTGGTATTTCCCAAGTCCTTCCTGCAACCGTTGCGCCATTCACCATCATACCAATCCCCATTTGGATAGAATCTCATGCCATGACCATGTTTAAAGTTCATCACCCATTGCCCCTTGTATCCCCACTAGGACCGGTATATATACCGATCCGTCGATATATCCACTTTTGAACTCGCCTTCGTAAGTAGCACCCGATGGCCAACTAAACTGCCCTGTATAATAATCCCCGTTGGGTAGAATTTTCTCTACCAAGTATGGCTCCCCGGATACGTTATCTTTATCATGATGATTTTCGAGATCATCCTCCGCCGCAGTGGCCATTGTTATTGTCCCGAAAATGATGTTTGCACGCTTTTTCGCAGCATGCGTTTTGCGCATGGTGGCCTCCCATGCCTTTAGAACACCGCTTTGCTCTTTGTCTTTGTCTTTGTTCATTGAGTGCAACCCTTGGGGTACGTTACGACCGACAAGCTACGTTTACGTTGATCATTTGAGCCTAAGTATGACCGTAAGCAAGAAAATTATCACTAACCTGAAAGAAAATTGTCATACTCAAATGGCTTAATGATGTAGAGAAACAATTATATAAACAATACAGAGAAGTATGAAACAAAATTGTATGAACCTTAATTTTCTTCAATGAAGGAAATGGAAAAGAGTGATTGAACCAAAGACTTGTTTTCTTCTGACAAAATAATTTCCAAATTTTGTGTCAATTCATTTTCTTTTGAAATTTTTATGGGATAAATTTTGTGGTTAGATTACCGAGAGTCACAAGTAGACCGTACAATTAGCGTAAATAACATTTTCGGCAAATAATGTGATATGTGGCAATTGATTTTTGCGTTACTATGTTTATAATAGGAAGCACAATTCTCTCCTATATTCTTTTCCCTTTATGATTCAAAGGATGACTTGTTCATCCCCTACAACCTCTACAAGCCCTTACATTTGGAGGGACAAAAGACACAAAGATTCATGTTTTTCTACTTTTGGAGTTACCTTGCAAAATAGTTAAAGAAATGAATAATATACTAGGACTTTTCATTGCCTCCAAAATCCAATATATGCACTTAAAAATGAAAAAGAAAATAACACAATTAATAGTTCCAATAACAAACAAAAACATTCATTTATTAATAATAGTAACCGTAAATTAATATCATAACATATACTGGAAAATAAGCTAATGTATTATATAAATACTAATTTTCATGCATGGGTTAATTGTATTAATAATAAATATTATTAAATTAGTTTTTTTAATGTGAATTATTTTTGCAATACAATTTTTCTTGAATTATTTATGATGATATTTTGTACATTATTTTCTTATATGCGTTTGTTGATATTAATGCTCATGAATTTGCCTTATTATCTCAATGTCATATTATTCATTCTTGAGTGAAGTGATTTTCTTAGACATTTTATTGGAGGTATCCGAGTTGCTCCTAGGAAAATATAAGGCATATTGGATTGAAAAAGTTATTAAAATTGTGACATATGTATGTAGTTTTCTTGAATTGATTGATTATTATCGTAGATTCATCGAAGAATTTTATTAATGTCATGCCGTTGATGAATTTGTTGTAAAAGAATATT